AGTATAGACAAATATAGTAACTCCAGATTGTTGGAATACATCGACACTAATTTTTGAAAGTTCTTCCCAATTCATTTTATCTAAGCCACAAGCGATTTTGGGCATTGCGATAGATCGAATGTTATTCGCTATAGCATGATCTTTCATTTCAGACAAAGTGTTGAATATATTGTCGTAAGTGGGTTTATGAAAGTACCTCTGTTTGCTAATCAGGTTATGTATGATTTGTCCAGATTTTGGATCAGTCAAGATGAGAATATTTTTTTTGTTAGCATGTACGATACTTTTGTAACTCAATACATGCTAACTCAGGATACCTTTTGCAAATTGATTCAGCAAACCATTTTTTCATTGCTCTATCTGCAGAGATTGTATGGGCAATTGGCATATTCGATTCGAATAAGGACCTTTTTTTGAAGTCTACATTTTGTAGACAGGGGCCGGATAATTGGGTATTGCTTTCCTATGTAGTATTGACAACAGTGTTCAGCATGAAACAGTTAATCAAATTCCGAACTTTCGTTTAAATTTCTCGTTGTGAACTCATCACAATCGTGGATAGCAATTATTTTATCCTCGTATCCTTGAATGTCTGTTACTGCATAGCCTAGACACACTTTTTCAGTGTGACAGGATGAGCTTTCTGATTTTCAATAAGGATAGGCAGGTTCTGCTCGATTTGAGTACAAACTGTTCTTATGAAAACCAGTTAAGTTTTTGGTTGTATTCTTATGAGGCAGGAATGTGGTTCAGCCGAGTGTTTGTTTAAGTATGTAGAGCGTGCTGGAATGAACAGGGGTTCTTTCAAGTTAATTGAGACAATTTTTGAAACATTAGGATATTCTTTATCGTTGTTTATCAACCCGTAGGAAATTACACCATCTTTTGATTTTAGCTCAACTGCGGGTATATCAAAGTAGAGAGCTTTTAAGAAGAGATGACAAAAGTCTACTCCTAATAGATTAGCAGTCTTTTCTTCAGTTATCCACACTTTGTAATTAGAGGGACAATTTCCATCAGTGTCGAAACAAGATTGAATAGATGAATGGCCAAACATACGTATATAGATGTATAAGTCTTTGCTTTAGTTTTGGATAGGTATATTGTCATTTTTTGACCTAATTTTTCCAATTTCTGATAAGTTGGGTAGTTTATGATACTACAAGTCGATCCTGGGTCAATCATGAATTCAATTTGGGGTCCACTAATTTTATTTTTGTCTCCGCTGGCAAAATGATATAAGCTAAGATATATCCTTGATTTAGAATTACTATCATCGCTTGGTTCCAGAGACTTTAATAGTTTAAAGGAAAGAAATCAGTGATCGCATCACAGTAATTCACTTCTTCTTCAACCCAGTGGGTAGTTTCAGACTGTATTTAATTCGATCTAAAATTTGGTGATTGAGATCGCGTTGAGTCTCGATTATTATTGTTATTATAGCTTCCAGTGTTATTTTGTCGACCCTAGGGTTACTATAGAATTGCCTATTTTCTTGGTCGTAGAATTGTTTAGCAACGTGTTCCTTTTCTCTGAATTTGTTTTCTCTGGGATACCTATCATCATAGGTTTGGGGCCTTTTGGCATTGAAAGACGATTGTGCACTAGCCTTTTGGAAATTTTTTCCGTTGTAGTTATAATTATGGCGAATGCCATAGTTATTTTGGCTAGGGTTTGAATTGTTAGTAGTTCTGTTTTGGTTATCCCAAAACCGGTTGATTGGGTTGGGGGTATTCTGGTTAGGGAAGTTATTTGGTCTTCGATTTCGTTTATAATGGGTTTCAAATGAAACTCTTCGTTCATTTTTTGTTGTGAGCTCTTTTCGCAACTTATTTACTTCGTCCTGAATTAGCTTTTTTGCTCATCTAGATATAGAAAGTCCATTCATCCTGCAATATTCGCAAAATCGTGTACTATTAGGTCTTCCCTTGATGTCAGGGTGACGTCGTTGAAATGAATTCTGGTCATTGAATGCACTAACTTCTTGATTTTTGATCAATTTGGTTAGTTCTTTATTTTGAGTTTCTATTGAAGTCATTTTTTTGGTTGTTGTCTTATTAGCAGGATCGGTAGCAACAATGAATGTTAGATCCTTAGTGATTACATGATTAGTGAATTGATCCCTATTTGAATTTAGATGCTCTATCATGTAATCATGAGCTTTTTGTTTAAAGGCTAGAGGTCTTAGTCCCTTAATTGAAAAATCAAATACTTTTGACTCTTTTGTCTGGATTGTATATTTCTTTCAGCATTTTGAGCAGCTTCATCAACGTGGACTGTTACATCAATACTTTCGGGCCATCCTCAATCTTCAGAAGATTTAATCCCGTGGAAGTAATTTTTTATTAATTCGCCATCTTGGCTTGCTGCATTTTCAGAATCAATTTGATATTTGAATTGATCTCGTCCGTCAGTGAATCTGTTCAGACACAGATCTTTGAGCTGTGCCCATGTGGTAGTATTGGTTACATTATCATTGAACCATTCAAGAGATATATCAGTTAACAATAATCCGAATAGGGATCGTTGTCTGCTATCATAGCTGCGTCGCGCATCATTATCAGCAGGTCTTTGACCTAATGAGAAAAGAATTTTGTTTTCAACTGAATTCCAAAATGCTGTAGCATTCTGATTTGGGTCGTTTCCCGAAAATGTCATTAAAGACAAGTTGGGATGGGATATTGGGGTATCAGCCATATTATATTTAGCTTAAAACCTAAAAATAAAGATAGAAAAGTTTATAAATTTGCTTAGAAAACATAAATTTCCGATGGGGAAATTTATTATTTCTATTTTGTTTGTAAGAGAAATTTCAACAATTCTCCAGTTTGAGAATTGGATTCTTTGCTTTTCATCTCTTTTTGAGACTTTAGCAATTTTAGCGAATTTTTAGAAGGTGTGCCTCACTGGTCGCACCAATTTATTACGCTAGCAATCACTATGTGCGCCGAACAAAACGCTTGCTAGGAAAATAGGGTCCTTTCTACTTTCTATTTTAGAAAGTAAATCTAAAATTCGCTGAGAAAAATTTTATTAGAAAAGAAGTTAGTATGAATTTACTGCAAGTTGCTTTTGATTCAATATTTCTTTTAACGGTGATATTAGAGATATTTTTACTGAGATGGGATATTATTTTTAGAGGATGGTTGGGGTGGTTGAAGAGAGTAGTGTTGGTATTTTGTGTGAATTTGCTGAAGTATTAGAGAGGGAGGTGGTGGTGTTAGAAGAGATATTGTTGGGAATGAATTTCCGTAGTTTTTAGCTTCTATTTATACTCAGATGGGAAATCTCCCACTTTTTCGTCTCAAATGAGAAGCTACTTCTTAACTTCGTATTCTCTATTCGTGCATTCGTATTTTACGAGAAGAATGTTTCGTATGCTCGTATTTTACGAGAGGAATCGTTATTATTCCCATTGAACGAGAATATTCGTTTTATTTCGCAATGCTTAAAACGTTATACGAATTTTTCCAATAGCATTGCCCTTCCTTTTGCAAAGGGATAAAAACATATTTATTTTGTGGTGGCGGCGGCGTCACACTTTGTGAGCACAAAAAATAATTCTTGTTTCCGTTTCATTTTGAACTCAGAACACAGTTATTACAAGATATTTTTGAATGTTTTAATTGATTACTTATTTTTGCAGTGGCAATTTAAATTATCAAACGGAGCATGTGACGCAAATTGAAGTCATTTAAAAGAATATTTGCATTATATACCAAAGTAAAACTATCAGTTGATAACTGTTGACAAGCCTTAACTGTTACGTCTTTATCACTAATTTGAGAGTGTTGAAATGCAAATAGATCAGGTATCTCAATTTTAGCTTGTTTTTGCTTGTTTTAAAGTTTCAATCGGAGTTTTTTTGTCCAGAAACAAACTCAAGTCAGCTTTGTTTCATTGAAATTGTCTTTTTATTTTTAAACACATCCGCTTCTAAAAACTCTGAACAGTTAGTTCGCTTCATCTGATTTCACTTTCCAGAAGCTTCCGGATATGAGCCAAATAGACAAGTAATTACACGAGAAAAAACCGGCTGTTAAAGTTGATTCTTGCAACATGAAAAACTTGCCTATTAAACTGTTAATTTTGTCGATTGCGCGTTGGCGATTGCGAATATCCGTTTTGTAGAACCTTAGGCAGCAGCCCTTGTAACTCGAGCTGTTTTGTCTTGTTGTTAGGTGCCCAATGTTGGCACTGACTTAGCTGTAGCTCCGAAAACGAAGCGAGTGCACATATTCCACTCAGCTTTCTTTTGTCCCCGTAGGAAGCCGGAGAATTTTTTCTTTCTGATCAGTGCAAAAATATGTTTTTCAAATCAACTGAAATTGAAATTTTTAGTTTCTGATTTCTAGTAATCAGAGCAACTAAGATTGAATGAGTGCTGAGATGGTCTGTTTTTTTTACGAAGCATTTTGTAAAGACATCAATTTCTTACAAATTCTACTAGATTACTGATAAAGCAAAGTACTCAATGTAGTAGTATTTTGTATTTTATCCGTTATGAATCTTGATTTTTTCGCTAAAATGTGGATAATCTGTCTTCATCTGTCTTGCTTTGAATAATTTGATTGGTTCCTCTACTCAGGACAAAACAGGATTAAAGCTTCATAATGCTCGGTTAATTTCATGTTGAAATCTGTAATTGAGCAATTTTTTTCACTGATTTTTGACTAACTTTAATTCCTCTTCAAAGTTTTCTAAATTGGTTATCAAGTTTTTGACTCCCATAATTAATCGGATAGATGGTCTAGAAGATTTGTTAGAGCATCTTAAAGTGTTTCAAAGATGCCTCGGGGGCGGTTTATTGACTCGCATAAAAATTCAAACAGAAAATTCAAATAAGTTCCTTGCTCTTGCAAGTGAAATAAAAAGCGGCAAAATTAAAGAAATCTCAATTCATCCCCCCTTAGTGACCTACCGTAGGTAGAAAATGCCCCTTAGCCAAGTTGTTATTTCGAAAATTGTTTCTGTATAAAATATGTATTTCGAACGAACTCACTTATTAAATTTGATCAAGTTAACATCCTCCCCTCCCCTCTCCAATCCGTGGTGGGGGGGGGGGGGGGGGTGGTAGTTATCCTGGCCTTGAGTTCGAAATTTCGGCTAATCAGAATTGAGCATTTTACACGCAGCGCTTAGTAAATTTAATTTAAAATAACGTAACTCAAAATTTCAGTTTCCACCAAAAAGTTAGTTTTCAGAACAGAACCTAAAGCTAAAACACTGAAACATCCGTTTTGTACTGATAAAATAGGTTTCCTATGTTAGCTTAAACAGAGAAAGTTGATTTTTAACCAAAAATTTTTATGTTTCACTCCAGGTTTTAGTTTTAGGTTCAAACGTTTCAGCTGAAATAAGTATAGTTTCCGGTCGAAAAATTAGTTTTCTGTAAACGGTTTTGGGTAAAACATCACAATTTGAGCTAGTAAAACACAAATTCAGACAGCATATGCCAAAAATCTGTATTTGAAGAGTAAATTTTTGTTAGTTTAAGGTTCCAGAACACAAAAATTGAGTTTATTGTCTCAAAATGGAGCTGCGATTGTCAAGTTTTGACTTTTGAGAGAAAACTAACGACGTTGAAACCCAACAAACTAATTTCGAACTTGATTCCTAAGGCTGAACGGTACGTTTTAAAAGTGGTGTTTTTGGTTTAAACACAAAAATGTTGCGCCCCAAGTCAAAATTTTGTGGCATCTAATTAGTGAAAAGGAATCTTTATTGCACTAACCAATGTTTAAAAAGGTGTTAATTTGAGCCGTCAAACCCATAATTTCAGCTAACCAAAATCAACATTTTAGGCTAAAACTTTCAATGTTTTGGCTATTTTATTGCTGGAATTGACAAATATTAGAGATATCAGCCAGAATTTTTAATTTCAAAACCAAAAAACCTTTGCTGGAATTGACAAACATTAGAGATATTGCTGGAATTTTATTGCTAGAATTGACAAATATTAGAGATATCAACCTAGATTTTTAATTTCAAAACCCACAAACCAAGCGGTCATACTATAGTTTAAGTTATATAAATCATAGTTTCAGCCCTAAGAACTTGGATTCCCGAAAAAAATATTGTTATTTTGATGTTACAAACCAATTTATAAGTCTATATTACACTAGATCAGATATCAAAAACCAACTTTTCATTCCTTTTACGGAGCTTAAGGTATAAGGTTTTTTGGTTTGAAATTTCAAAAACTAGGTTTGAGACATCAAAATTTAAATTTTTCTCCAATGTTTTTACATGAGAAAGAAATAAAAAAGTATGCTAAAGCCTTGGAACAACTTTTAACGTAAAAACTCGACTTCAGCGGTCATAGTTTCAGGTTTTCGATTATAGTTTCAGTCCCCAAAAACCATCAAAACGTTGACAAAAAAAAACTAAAGTTTTAAGCCAGTAAGAACTTAAGAAAGTGCTTAAATTGCTAATCATAGAAATCAAATTGCTAATAAAAAAGCATTAGAAAAGTCACAAAAAACGTTTCAGGTTTCAGCTAACTGTTTCAGGACACAGAACTCTGAAAATTAAAAAAAAAATTTAAAAAACATTTTTCAAAATTAGTTTTGAATTTCATTGATAAACTTTGATATTAATCAAAAAATTCTGGAAATCTTTCCATACCGTATCACATAATATTTAAATATTTGATTTTGGTTAGAAAAAAAAACGATCACCGTAAGAAGTTCATGTCAACTCATTTCAAAACTGACGTCAGCCTGATAAATTTAAAATTTAAAATCGGAAAAACCCTCCAATATCGTATGGTATATCACTAACACTGAAAAGGATCATTTTAGTATAGTATCAAAAACACCCTAACGACAATAAACCTGAATTATACGTTCTTTTTCAAGGATAAACTCCAGAAACAGACACAATTCTTCTATAAAAAAAATTACCAAGAAAACTATTTTAAATACCACAAGAACGGTTAATTGCTTCACTTCCAATCGCTTTTTAACATCATCCTTTACAAAAGCACAAAACTAAGCAATTATCAACTTATGATTAAAAACTAATTTATTCCACATCAAAATCTGAACTACCCAAAAAAGTTAGTAACCAATTGAACAAAATTTACGATTCCTTGTCTTTAAATGTTTGTAAGTTATATAAATTATTTATGCGTATCCATATCTATAGTTCTGAAAAATGATTTCAATTAAAATGACCAGTGATTACAGCAGCAATTATTTGAAACTTAGTTTGAAAAATAAATCTATAAAATTTCTTTGGTATAGCACCAACATCCAAAAGGATGAAATCACCATTTTGTCCAAACATCGATATAAAACCAATCTTGAATTAACCATTGCTTTCGGCCGCAAAACCTCAGAAAAATTTTCTGTTCTAAAAAACCTAGCCGACCATATAGCACTTTTGATATATTCAATCAAACCCAATTAACCTCAAAAAACTTGATCACATTTTTTGAAGTTTATCAGTGAACAAAAGATTCAATCTTTTTTGTAGTATTACCCAAAAATTAGGTAAAATGAAACTTTATCGGCTCAGATCCATATGAAGATGCAAGATATTTTCGTATTATAGTCCGGAAAAGTTAGCCTTTTCACTAAGCACTCGACCAGCAGCCGCAGGTGCCAATCACGACGCATATGGTAACAGACAAAGAGCTTTATTCGGTTCAAAAATAAGAGGTCCAGCAGCTCAATGGTATCAGGGATTAGCAGCAGTTTTACCCTGGATCAATTTGAGAGACCAGTTTATAAACAGATTCACTGACTTTAAGGATAAGTAATGAAGACGAACAGAATCAGAAAACATAAAAAGACAACCAGACGAGTTTATCAAAATTTATTTGCATAGATTAAGCACCGTAGTAGATTCAATTTTTAGTGATGATTAAAAAACAGCAAAAAAGCAACTCGTTGTGCGAGGCTTAAGCCCGCCAGACTTAAAACAAAATGTAAATCACTTTTTAATTGAGAATGCACCGGTAAAATAGTAACAACTTGAACACTATATTGCTAAAAAAATATTTGAGTTTTGCAGCAAGAAGTGAGTTTACTAGAACAGCCTCAAGTAGTATTGGTAATTTGTTGGAAGTAAAAGGAATTAAGGATTAACTTAAGGAGTTAACAAGACTAATGAATGATCATAAATAAATAGAGCTTATAATCCAAATGAACCTAGAAACAGACAAAACCATACTCGATTTTGTAAATGGTGTCGTAGGTCAGGTCAGAGTACCAGGGTTTTGTTTTAAAAACTGAGCTCACAGGAATCAAATCCGAAAACCACCTCAATATCGAGAAAAGTTTTTAGACAATTATAATGGGAGATATAGGCCTCGTGAAGATAACAGTTACAGCAGTCAATATAATAACTATTTTCAAGGGAAAAGCAGTAGCAAAGCATACTCCTCGTATCCTCGACGATTTAAAAACAGAACAAATGAAATTCAATATCTCGATCTCAAACTTTGGATCAAAAGATAGGAATTTCAATAATACATTCAATGATGAAAATAACCGAAATTATCACAATCTGTATGACACAAAATCAAACAATTACAATCAAGATAGCAACAGAAGCAAATATATGTAACAGTCGCCTACCTCGGTCACATATGAGGCTTAAGAAGAATAGGCCCTATAACCATTGGCTCAAGAGTCAGGGACACTATCTCTTGTGTTTTTCTACCTCAAAACGGTCGGAGCCGATTCGGTTTGCTTACAAAATGAGACTCAAAACCCGTTACAGCTTAAAGACCACTACCAGAATACCCCCCACTCTAGAAAATGAGAGCGTCCCCATATTTAGGTCTCAAAATACCCAAAATACACGAACGCCGTTAAAAACAGTGTCGGAACAATCCGCACAGTTACTTTTTATTGGACAGTGGAACTTTGATCCATTTCAGATGGATCAACCTAAAACTCTCCTTACCTCAACATAACAATCATAAAACACACTCAAGAAAATTAAATTGGGTACTCGCATACCAGCACACTCAAGAATTGGAGTAACTAGATTAGTAAGCAACTTTAGAATCAAGTATGATAACTTGAGAAGTTTGATACTATTTTATTCCTGCAAGGGAAACCAAGTTTTGACTCAAGAATTGAAGTTTTTGTCTGAACCATTGGGACACCCCAGCTGTCCACCTTTCCACTGAAGGTTCACTCTAGTTCAACTCGAATAAATGTACTCTCCTTTTGTAATCACTCCTTCTCCTGTTTCAGGGTAGGACGGCTCTACTCGCGTTTGTTTTCTATCTGGAAATTGCAAATAGCAATTTCCCGCTGCTTTTTTCAAGTACTTTCCCGCGATTGTAAATCGGTTGTTCTGATCTTCTATTTCTGAGATTTTCAGTTTTTGCGAGAAAGTTGAGCATGACAGGCTCAATTCGAATTTTTGAAAAATTAAATTTCCTCTCAAAATTACGTACTTCGTATTCCTCAAGGTCAAATTTCCAAATATGACCGACTGGCACATACTCCCGGACTCAAGATCGATGTCCTCATCGCGTGTTGCCGCCTGCCAGTGAGTCCCCAGAATACCGAGTGTTGCTCAAGATACAGTGCAAATGGTCCTTTACAGAAGTTTGCAGCAGACTTAAGTTTATCTACACCCCAAAATTCACCACTATATAAAATTACCACACTATCGCTGAACAGCAATCAAATTTTTCATATACCTGCACCTTAAATATCCGCTCTTGAAGCTTGTGATTAAAATTTCTTTTGTCCTATCCGATCAGGAAATTGTCATGCAACATTTTGATTTATATAATAACTATAGCATATTAATAACAATATTTTGTTTCGTTAAAATTTCTTTTTCATGACCTCGGATTTCATCCGAGTTCACACTCGAGCCCCTTCCTTTCCCTCTCAAGACTCAAGAAACCCACATTGAGCTCCCTGCTCACTTCGTATTCCTAGCCTTCGAAGTGCTAGGACCTGATGAGTTTGACACCGGGATCTGCCTTAGTAGCGCTTCCTCATCATCGGAGCTGATCACAATTTCTTCCCATGCTCT